CGCTATTTGCTGACGTCATCCTACGGACTTCTGTTCTACAGTAGGATTTGACACTATCTACACCTAATCGATTTACAGAAATGCCAAGTATCAATTATATCACAACAGACCGCAGGGGCTGCGGCGGCAGTGTCGACAGCAGCGGCGGCGGCGGCGGCGGCGGCGTGCGGCTGCGTGGCCCCGACGCAAGCGGCGACAGCGGCGACGGCGGCGGCTCCGACAACAGCGGCGGCGCCCGCACCTCTCGACGACGTGGCCAGGAATCGCGACGGTGGGACGGCCGGCGGGAGTCAACCGTCGTCTGCGGAAAGGAAGAGGACACAGGGGAAGGAGGGGGGGAGGGGGGGGGGGGGGGGGGGGCGCCACAGGCTGGCATGCGGGCGGCCGGTCTAGCGGCGCCACAGGCGTCGCGCGGCCGGCTGCAGCCTGACGACGCCGTTACAGAGCGGCGTCGATGCCGCGGCAGGACGTCGACGCTGCGACGGCAGCACGACGGCTCGACACCACGGCAGCGCGTCGAGACGGCCGCGGCACGACGCGGCCAGCGGCATCACGACGCCGCCACTGCAGCAAAACGCGGCCGCCATGGCCGCGCGAGCGAACGAGGGTGAGTACGCGGCGGAAGCGTGAGGAGGCGGTCCAGCAGGGAGGACCTCCTGCTCTGATACCATGTTAGAAGGCTAGCTTAGCTAGGAAGCTAGGAAAGGCATGAGGTTTAGCTAGGAGGAGCCATGGAGTGGCGTGAGGTTTAGGAAGGAGAAAAGTTGAGGAGAGAAAAGAGAGTTGAAATAGAAAGAGAAAAGCATGCAAGGAGAGGATTGTACCCTCTACAGTAAAGTTCGATAACCTACCAAGCCTAACAATTATATAACTCAATATATAATTTAACAGGTTTCTCGTCTCATTGCTGTGTTGCGTCATGTGAGTTGTAACAGGCAATTCCGACCTGCCGTAAATGATGGACGAACCAGGGCCATAAATCACTCCGTACGTAACCACTTCAGGCTCGCGGCGTGAATTCGCCTTGTTGAGTCAGTAAGGACGTTGCAAAAGCATTCGAAATTCACTTGCTGTGGTGCCGTTGAACCAAGCGAAAGAAAGCGTTTACAGTACCTCGCGAACATTAGCAGGCAGGAGTGCCCCTCAACGCTCGACATCAGGGCCTCAGATTCGTTTAGAGGTACCCTGATCAATCAGCCATCCCCCCCTTCTTTCCCCTGATATGTCAGTGTTGATTGTAAAAAAAAATCTGTTTCTTCAGTGTTAGAAGGGAAAAAAACTCTGATCATTCAGTGTTTACTCAGAAATTTACGCTGAGGTGAAAAAAACACATTTAATAAACCACAATTACACATCGTTGACAGGGCTCTCCATGGCTGCTGATGCTGTCTCGTCCTGCTCTCCCTCAGCATTCACATCCTCGTCCATGTTCTCTTTTCCTTTCTTGCTCGCCGTGCTCACTTTAACTGTGCCGAAGGGGCGTCTCTTCTTATACGCCCGCCAAATCTGTACTACAGCGTCCCAGTCCGGCGAGTAGTCTAACAGGGACAAGCACATGAGATCACCTAGCCTAGTGTCCTTCAGGCTATTCCTCAGCCAGCTCAAAATCACGTTCTGGCGGGAGAATCAGCGTTCACACTCAACGGTGCTCAGAGGCAGCACCGCCACAGCCACCCACAGACCCACAAGGTTGGGATACTGGTCCTGTGAGGCAGCAGTTTTCAGCACAAATGACAGCGCAGCATGAAACTTCTTGTCACTCTTCGGGAGACGAGCAAGCATGGGGGCGAAGTGTCGCAGCTCTTTTATCGCCAGGCGTTTGTCAATGCCTGAAACACATTTAGACACGGACGATTAGGGATAGTTATTTCGTTACAAGGCTTGAAAAACAAGAAAACAAGCCACGAACGAAAGCATAAGGCAATAGGTTAAAACAAGCCTTGCACCTGGCAGAATTTCGTCGGCATCCTCCGCGCGAAACAAAGTGACGAGTGATTGGAACCACTCGACACACTGAGCCAGCCTCGCTTCCCGCTCCCATTTCTCTGGCCACTGGTCGGCAGAGAAAAGGCGAACGCCGCTCAAGGAATCCAGATCTCCAAGACGCTCCTGCAGATTCCTGGCCATGTCTTCGGCAACCTCGGTGCACACGTTGACGCAGCCATTGTGTGTACCCCGTCCTGGGTAGTCGTCCAGTTCGTTGAAATGAAGAGTTACAGTGAAGCGAGCAGGGCGGCCATCAGAATCCGCGCCCTCAACGATGACGTTGGGCGAACCGCCCGGGCCGTGACGGGTGATGAACTGCACAAGTCGGGTCTTCTCGCTGCCTCCGAAGTCGTCGCCGCAGTCAATGTACCGGCTCTCGATGAGGCCGGTTGTGTGCGCGATCTGCTGCTGGACGCTCGTGTAGTCCAGCTGTATGAATAGAGATGGGGAGACGGGTGAGTAGAGGAGGGAAGAGCACATGGTGGGCTGAATCACAAGTACTAACCTCACGCTGCTGAAAGGTCTTGTTCAAGATGTTCAACTGCTCAAGAACATCAGCCAGAAAGTTTAGGAAGAACCAGAAGCGGTAACTAGTGGCGATGGCATATAACTTGGGGTTGCGGAAACGGAACTCATACAGCATGACGACCACGGCAGGGAGAACAGCAAGAAGACGAAGGATAGCCTCACCGCGTGAAAGCCACCTGATGGCGTGAATACCCTGGAGCTCTAGGTTGGTTGAGGTGAAGAGCTCCTGAAGGTCGAGGAAGCGCTGATGCCAAGGCCCCGATCGCCCAAGAAGCTCGGCAAGCTGGCAGATGAGATCATCTACCATGGAGAGTGCGGGGATGTTCTCCGCTGCCGCCTTGACAGCTAGTGCCTCCCTACATACATAAAATAACAAAGAGTGTAAGTATCGGTACATATGTACAGTGCGAACAAACATGCATGTAGAAAACCATACTAATTACCGATGTGCGATGCAGTGGCACGACACCAAGTGGGGGATGTGGACGCGCAAGCGCACTACAAGCCCCCCCTTAGCACCCATCATCACAGCAGCTCCGTCGGTGCTGATGCCTGAAATCCGACGGAGGTCAACCCCAATGGCACGGATGTGGGAGAGGAGGAGGGCAAGAAGCGATGCGGCATCAGCCTTCTCGACTGTCAGCAATGTGAGGAACTCAGTCACAAGTCTCCCTTGGCGGATGAACGTGGCAAACACAATCATGTGTTTGCCACGACAGCGGTCGGTGCTCTCATCAAGGCTCAGGCCGATGAAGGGGCTTGTAAGAAGATACTCAAGCTGAGTGGTTTGGAGCCAGGTTGCCATAGCTTGAAAAAACTGTCCAAAGCCATACCTGCAAATCAAGAGGCAAATGGATAAATGAAATGACATGTATAACAAGAGAGCGATACGGTGCAGCGAAACACGAAAGGTAAATGGATGCTTACGAGTTGTAATACGTCCCGTATCCCTTCTCAGGGAAGCCCCTCGTCTTGCGTTCCGCCAACTAGCGGACGAGATTGATCCAGGTTTCCATCGGCTCATTGCAGCGGCTGCTGAATTGGAGCGCATCGCAAAGTGCAGTGACGTGCAGTTTCTCCAAGTCCTCTGCAAGCGGGTGCAGGTCGATCCTCTGCTGTTTCGTCGCCATCTGCAGCAGATCGTGTTGCTTCTTCTCGGCAAGTTGATGGCGACTCGTAGCAGCATGTCGCTTGAAGGCCTGGACTTGCACATCGGTTGCCCCTTTGCCACGCCTGCCTGTTTTGCCCTTCAAGCCTGCATGCTCGGTACAAAGACTGCACCTGAAGGCGGGCATGCCACAGTCAGTCTTTGTAAAAAGGAGCCAAGGGTATGAGCTCGACCAGCGTGAATTATACTTGTCTAGGGCCTCGCCGTATTGCTCGTCAATAGTCAAGTGCCTCTTACCGCCAGCCTTTCCTGGGAGGTAATCTTCTGCACCTTCGTCCTCGGACTCGGAAGACGAGGGCGGGTCGGGCAGATTGACAGGTGGCGCGAAGGGGAGTCGTGATTGCCGGTACTTTCCTAAGCGCTTCGACGGGGTAGGCTCGGGCAGTCGATTGTCAACAGCAGAAGCATCGCGTTGTGCAGTAGTCGATCCCGACGGCCCAGCGATAGGCGGGACAGCAGCGTGCTTTCTGGCTCTCTGAGTTCCCTCAGGCAGCGATGTTGGCTCGTGCTCGGCAGGTCTGGGAGACGGGCCTTGAATACTACATAAAGAAGCAAGGAGTAAGTCTAGGCCTGTGCGCATGTCGCCTTCTAGGATGTGGCAATCATCGTCCTCTGTGGCGAGCTCGTTATCACCACCTGATTCTGCCATCACGAGCCACGGCAGAATCAGGCGTGATAAAATCAGTGGCGTAGCGGCTCTGACAACGCAGTTACAATTCTGGAAGAGGAACAAATGAGGCTGGTGAGGGGTGGGACGGTGGTGGTAGCGAGCCTGGGAGAGAACTTGTGACGGGCTGCTTTCATAAAACAGGCGCGGCAGAACCTTTGTTCAAGGGGTCCCACGAACGCGCCGCGCGCACCTTGCCCAACATGCATGGCAAGGTGGGTGATGCGCGGTTCAGGACAGGCAGGTGGGTGGTCGTTGCCATCCAGTCCCTGCCGCGCTGTTACATCATGACGCGCCGTGCTGCGTCCTCCGAATAGCTGGGATTGGACCGCATGTCAAGATTTTGGTCAATTGCCAATGGGAGCATTCAGTCACCCATGTGCTGGCGCCAGCGGGAGTGGAAAAATCGTCTAGTGCCAATCAGAACAGTCTGACACCGAACAGAACAGAACAGACTGTTTCTGCAGGGCCGCCGTCGGGCGGCACAGTGGGCAAAATAACGTGATTAACGGGAGCCTCCCCAGTCAGGTACCGGTAATTCCGGGGGAGAGGGAAACGCACTATACTCGGTTTCAGCGTTCCCCCCTAGAGTCGACTCACACTGTTTCGTCAGGCTACAGGTACAAAGAAACGCTGAAAAATCAGTATACGTTACGAAAGAAAGGCTTATTCTTCAGTGTTACTTATCCAAAAAAGGCTGAGTGATCAGTGTGTACCCTAAAAAAAAGTCTGAAAAAACCCTGAATCAGCGTAAAAAGGCTGATATCTAGGGCCCTGCTCGACATCCACCACAGGATGACTGACCGCGGAGCTGCCATGCCCCTCTTGAAACAAGCTGACTACGATTGACTGCGGTTGAGTGTGGTAAGATGAGTGGGCAGGGAGGGGAACAGCTGGCTATACGAGCCCTAGCAGGCAGTCAGCGCTCTCAGTGGTAACCCTCAGTGGTACCGGTAACCCCCAGCAGTTCGCACATGTCTCGGGACCAGGGAGGGAAGCACGCAGAGCACAAAAATGTGTGCGTGGAGGTATCAGCAGCCCACGTCTTTTCTGGTGCACCCAAAGCGCGATCAGTGAGCAGGGAGGGGCACGGCTGGCAGTATGAGCCCGAGGAGGCAGTCAGGGCTATCTGTGGTAACCCCCAGCAGTTCGCACATGTCTCGGGACCAGGGCAGCACGTAGAGCATACGTGGCCACACGCCATTGGCTGGAGGGATCTTCACCACCCCCGCGCGCTCCTTCTGCCGCAAATAGTCCACCATTCGCGTGAACTGTGATGATGGGGGGAAAGGAGAGGAAAGGGAAGAGTTGGGAGGGAAAAGGGGTGTATGGTAACACCACACGGGCCGGAGGGATCTTCACCACCCCCGCATGCTGCTTCTGCCGCAATTAGTCGACAATGCGCGTGAACTGTGATGATGGGGGGGAGGAGCAGGGGGTAAGGGTGGAGAAGATGGGGGGAAGGGGGAAGGAGAGGGCGGGAAGGGGGGAGGAGAGGGGGTGAAGGGGGGAGGAGAAGGGGGGGGGGGGAAGGATGGATGGGTGGGTTTGTTTTCAGAGCCAGCTAGAAAAAAACTCCTTCGGGCTGAAAAAGAGTCCACCATGGGCGAGAAGTGCGTGTGTGCATGGAGGGGGGAGAGGAGTGCCAGGTGGGGGAGGTGGAGGTGGAGGGACGAAAACAGCATTGGTGGCGGAGCCACAAATAGATGCAAAGAGCCCACTCCGAGTGAGCTGTGTGAGGGGAAGAGGATGGCATGGGGGGTTGGGGGGTTGGGGGGGTGGGGGGGAGGAGGGGGATCACTGCTGCAGATAGTCGACCGTCAGAGTGACCTGTGTGAGGGGGGGGGTAGGGAGGATCGGGTAAAGATGGGAAGGGAAAGGGGGCTATTTTTGAGGCGCCTCAAACAACGGGAGTGAGGAGGGGGCTCACTGTTGCACGTAGTCAAACAGAGTGACCTGTGTGAGGGGGCGCAGGGGGGAAGGGGTAAAGATGCGAAGGGAAAGGGCTGTTTGATACCACCACATTGGTTGGGGGGGGTCTTCACCACTCCCGCCGATCCGCCTGACGCAAATATTCAACTATCCGTGGAGGGGGGAAAAGGGCTGGGAGGACAAACTTTTGAGTCGACTCAAAAGCAAATATTCAACTATCCGTGGAGGGGGGAAAAGTACTGGGAGGAAAAACGCCTCAAATAAACGAAAAACTCACCCCAGACGACAGCCTGAGAAAGGGACTGTTGAGCGAGACACAACGGAAGTGAAGGGAAGTGGGAAAGGAATGCACACCTCCCTCTGTGGGAAACACGAGAGTGCACCAAGGCTCACCCCAAGTCAACGAAGACTCACCCCAGAGGAAGGGCCTCCGGTGTCTGCTGAGCGAGATGCGGTGGACGTGGAGGGGAGTGGGAAGAGAATGCACACCTCCCTCTGGCGGACACAAAGGCAAGCAGAACGAGAAACAGGGAAATACTTAGCAGGACACAGAGCAACAGAGGGGCAACCAGGCAGGGCAGCGGTGCACTGTACAATGCACTGTACGGTGCACTGTTGTACTGTAGACAGGTCTGTCTGAAGAATCGATTATTGCAATGCAATGGGATGGAGGGATGGAGGGATGGAGGGATGGAGGGATGGAGGGATGGAGGGAGGTGACTACGAGAAGGCAGGGCAGCGGTGCACTGTACGGTGCACTGTTGTACTGTAGACAGGGTTGTCTGAAGAATCGATTATTGCAATGCAATGGGATGGGATGGAGGGATGGAGGGATGGAGGGATGGAGGGATGGAGGGATGGAGGGATGGAGGGATGGAGGGAGGTGACTACGAGAAGGCAGGGCAGCGGTGCACTGTACGGTGCACTGTTGTACTGTAGACAGGGCTGTCTGAAGAATCGATTATTGCAATGCAATGGGATGGGATGGAGGGATGGAGGGATGGAGGGATGGAGGGATGGAGGGATGGAGGGATGGAGGGATGGAGGGATGGAGGGATGGAGGGAGGTGACTACGAGAAGGCAGGGCAGCGGTGCACTGTACGGTGCACTGTTGTACTGTAGACAGGGCTGTCTGAAGAATCGATTATTGCAATGTGATGGGATGGGATGGAGGGATGGAGGGATGGAGGGATGGAGGGATGGAGAGAGGTGACTACGAGAAGGCAGGGTAGCGGTGCACTGTACGGTGCACTGTTGTACTGTAGACAGGGCTGTCTGAAGAATCGATTATTGCAATGCAATGGGATGGGATGGGATGGGATGGGATGGGATGGGATGGAGGGATGGAGGGAGGTGACTACGAGAAGGCAGAGAGAACAGGAGAGGCATGGCAATGAGAATGGGGTTTGGAACTGATGTGCCGTGATTGTGATCAAACGCAATGGAAGCTGCCTCCACAATGGCCTCACGACGCTTTTAACAGCTTTCATCACTTGACGGGATCGAGTGGCCGGGGAATGAGCGAAGGAGAACGATTTCACTGGAAAAGAACCCTACCCGAGAGCTGGGACAGGCATTGAAAGTATTCCGAACTGCCCGGAAATCTGCCCGCTTGGTCACATCTAACTTATCAGGCCACCTGCCAGACGAAACGGGCAGTCGAGAAGCAAAACGTGGGAATTGGAACCAGCGAAATTACAATCATGCAGAGTGAGTAGCTAAGCTCCAGAAATTGAGAATCCCCTTATAATTACTCCTAGTTAGCACTGAAGAGAAGCCGAGATAAGTTTTACGCAGTAAACTCACTTCAGCAGCAGTAGCACAAGATCATACAGTTGGAAACCCACCCCAGAGGCTCGTGTTGCCCTGCAGTGCAGCGGCCACATGGCAGTACAGCACAGAGCTCATGCTACATCACCCAGTGAGTTCCTCCTGCCCTGCGCTCTCAGCACAGACTCACACTCACTCACCCCAGAGGCTCGTGTTGCCCTGCAGTGTGAGAGACGTCGTAGCGGCTCCCCCTGACCTGCTGCCTGGCAGCGGCCACGTGGCAGTACATCACCCCGCTCTTGCACAGAGCAAAGCGCGGCAGCAGCGACAGCTGCAGGTGCTGCTGCTGATGCCTCTGCGCCTGCAGCTCCTGAAGCACCATCTGCTGCTGCTGCTGCTCCTCCTCCTTCCCCCCCTCCCTCTGACCGTCATCTCTCTTCCCCTCTGCGCCCCCTCCACCGTCCTTCTCCCTCTCAGCCCCTCTCTCCTGATCCAAAGGCGCAACACCCGCAGCAGCAGAAACACCGGCAATAGCAGCACCAGCAGCAGCAGAAGCGGCAGCAGCAGCTGCAGCAGGTGGGGCTGGAAGAGGAGAGGAAGCGGGATGGGGAGGAGGGGGAACAGGAAGAACAGCCGAAGGCTCCAGTGCCGGGGGCTCAAGTGGTGGAGGCGGGGGCGGAGGAGGAGGCGGCGCGGGTGGCAGTGGTGTCGTAGGAAAGCGAGGAGGGGAGGTTAGTGAAACAGAAACCGGGGGTTGGGAGGCAGAAGTGTGTGGCATGGAGACATGTCGTATAGTTGCATCTTCATCATCATCAAAATCCATATCTGTCTCCTCCTGCGTCCCCCCTCCTTCCTGTGCTGCTGTGCCCTCCTGTGCGCTACCTGCCCCCATGACCATACCCGAAAAAGACAGAGGACCCCCAACACCACCCTCTGCAATCCCTCCTCGTTCCCCAGCCCCTCTCCCCTCCCTTCCCTCTGCTGACCCCCCCACACCGGCTGATGGTTCCGTGAGAGGAACAGTAGATGCTGGGGGAGGGAGGGGGGGGAGAGGAGTGACAGGGGCGGCAGTGGGGGGGAGAGGAACGGCGGCAGATGGAGCAGCGGGGGGAGGAGGGGGAAAGGGGGGAGGAGGAGGCAGAGAGGGGAAGGCGGTCCCTACTGCTGTTGCTGCTACTGCTGCTGCTGTTGCCATTGCTCCTCCTAACCCCGTTACTTGCCCTGCTGCAGTCGCCCCAGCAGTAGAGCCATCTGCTGCCCTTCCGCTGTTCCCCGACCCTACGGATCCAAAGGAAGGGGGCGTTGATATTGCTCCTGTTGCCGCTGCGCCTGATGTTACACCTGATGTTACACCTGTTGCGACACCTGTCGTAACACCTGGCAGTCTGCCTCGAATGGGGCCCACGAGGTGGGAGGGATGGGTTGGGAGTGAGGCGGAGGAGGAGGGGATGTGCGGGTGGGGGGGTTCCCTGATATCCCATCTGCTACCACTGCCACTTGCCGTGAGCCTAGGAGTACCCTCCTGTGTAACAATGTTACCACCACCACCAGCAGAAGCAGCAGGTGCACTACTGCCAGCAGCGGCGCCAGAGTGCGAAGCAGAGGTGCCTGAAACAGCGGCGGCCGCAGCAGCAGCGGCCGCTGCAGCCGCGGCTGCAGCTGCTGCAATGTTGCCTGCAGCTAGCTGCTGCTCTGCCTGCTGCAGCGATAGGGCCGAATTGCTGCTCACACAGGGTGAGGGACAGAGAAACGGAGGAGAAAAGGGAGGTCGTTTTGAGCCCTAGGAATGCGGCTACCTGCTGCTCTGCCTGCTGCAGCGATAGGGCCGAATTGCTGCTCACACAGGGTGAGGGACAGAGAAACGGAGGAGACAAGGGAGGTCGTTTTAAGCCCTAGGAATGCGGCTAGCTGCTGCTCTGCCTGCTGCAGCGATAGGGCCGAATTGCTGCTCACACAGGGTGACGGGCAGAGAAACGGAGGAGAAAAGGGAGGTCGTTTTAAGCCCTAGGAATGCGGCTAGCTGCTGCTCTGCCTGCTGCAGCGATAGGGCCGAATTGCTGCTCACACAGGGTGACGGGCAGAGAAACGGAGGAGAAAAGGGAGGTCGTTTTAAGCCCTAGGAATGCGGCTAGCTGCTGCTCTGCCTGCTGCAGCGATAGGGCCGAATTGCTGCTCACACAGGGTGACGGGCAGAGAAACGGAGGAGAAAAGGGAGGTCGTTTTAAGCCCTAGGAATGCGGCTAGCTGCTGCTCTGCCTGCTGCAGCAATAGGGCCGAATTGCTGCTGACATGGGATGACAAACACAATACGGGTAAGGAAGGAGAATTCGGGTCTTGCGGCACCAACGAATGCAGCAGCACCACCAGCAGCAGCAGCAGCAGCAGCACCAGCAGCAGCAGCAGCCGCCTCTACGCGATCAGACTCCACCGCGCACTCCGCACCTGCGTCACATACCCCCGGCCCACCGCAGCTGCAGTGAAAACACCCGCTCTCAGCGTGCTCACTTGAATTCAACATGGACTGCCGAGACAAATCGTTTTGACTCCACAACGTTCCTGAGAGCCGTTGCTGCAGCCTCCACCCGATCAAACTCAATGAACGTACCGTGCATAGCCGTTCAACAGCCAACTTGCACGGCACCGGCTCCGCATAGACCGCTGCACTGAAAAGTCGTTTTTTTCTCCACGTGCTCACCTGAATTCAACTTGCACAGCTGAATCGAATCTCTCCGAAATCACGATGTTCGTGAGAGCTGTAGCCGCAGCCTCCACGCGATCAAACTCGATGAACCGGCACGGGCCCCTCATGGACCGCGCACTCCTCACCCGCGTCACATACCCCCGACCCCCCGCCGCCGCTGTGAATATCCCCTGCAGCTCGGACTCGGACAGGCTGAAAGCCGCCATTGCTGCTGCTGCACTGGCTGCTGACTGGGTGGAGATCGCCTGCTCGGATATGCCCATCCAGAGGGTGCTTGTGGGCACGCGCTCCTTGCCTCCTGTCCCGTACACCACTCCTCCTGCACCCAAACCTGTCCCCATTCCTGCCCCCATTCCTGTCCCCATTCCTGTGCCCAGTCCGCCTCCCACTCCCCCACCCATTCCTGAACCCATTCCGCCAGTACTCAATCCTCCTACTCCTGGTATGCCTGCCGCGCCTGCTGCTGCTGTTCCTCCTCCCCCCTCTTGGTCCCTCTCTCGTGCTCCACCCTCGCCTGTCCCTGCCACACCTCCACCCAAGCCCAGCCCGGAACCCAAACCTGGCATCGAACCTCCTCCCAAGCCTCCGCCCAGGCCTGCACCCATGGATCGGAGGAACCTGAGGCTGGCAGCGGACTGGGCGGCAGCAGAGTGGGCGGCGAGGTTGTGGGCGGCACCAGGGGTGAAGGGGAGGCGGGAGGGGAGGCCTGAGAGGGGGAGGAAGGCGAGGGGCATGAGGCGGGCGGCGGGGGAAGAGGAGAGGGCTTGCAGGTGCTGCAGGTGGGAGAGGGAGGAGGCGGGCTGCTGGGGAGAGGACGCTGCCCGCGATGCTGCGTGCTTGAACTCCACCTGAAGGAAGAGGAGGGAGGAGGGAGACGGGGGAGAAAGGGAGAGAGAGGTGCGGTGAGGGCAGGAATTGGGAGGAAAACGGGGGGAAGGGGAGCAGAAGGGGAGAGAGGAAGGGAGACCTGGGAGGGGGAGGGGTGAGCAGTGAGGGAGGAGAGGGCTTGCAGGTGCTGCAGGTGGGAGAGGGAGGAGGTGGGCTGTTGAGGGGAGGATGCTGCGCCGCGATGCTGCGTGCTTGAACTCCACCTGGGATGGGGTACAGAAGAGGAGAGCGGAAGGGGAGGGAAGCACAGGGGGAGGGAGGGGAGGAGGGTGGGGGGAGGGGAGGGGGGCTGTTGGGTGAGGAGAGAGGTGAGGAGAAGAAATCAAATGGGGGAGACCAGGGGGGAAAGGGCAGGGCAGGGCAGGGGCAGGGCAGGGCAGGGCAGGGCAGGGCAGGGCAGGGCAGGGCAGGGCAGGGCAGGGCAGGGCAGGGCAGGGCAGGGCAGGGCAGGGGCAGGGCAGGGCAGGGGCAGGGCAGGGCAGGGCAGGGCAGGGCAGGGCAGGGCAGGGCAGGGCAGGGCAGGGCAGGGCAGGGCAGGGCAGGGCAGGGCAGGGGAGGGCAGGGCAGGGCAGGGCAGGGCAGGGCAGGGCAGGGCAGGGCAGGGCAGGGCAGGGCAGGGCAGGGCAGGGCAGGGCAGGGCAGGGCAGGGCAGGGCAGGGCAGGGCAGGGCAGGGCAGGGCAGGGCAGGGCAGGGCAGGGCAGGGCAGGGCAGGGCAGGGCAGGGCAGGGCAGGGCAGGGCAGGGCAGGGCAGGGCAGGGCAGGGCAGGGCAGGGCAGGGCAGGGCAGGGCAGGGCAGGGCAGGGCAGGGCAGGGCAGGGCAGGGCAGGGCAGGGCAGGGCAGGGCAGGGCGGGGCGGGGCGGGCGGGGCGGGCAGGGCAGGGCAGGGCAGGGGCGGGGCGGGGCGGGGCGGGGCGGGGCGGGGCGGGGCAGGGCAGGGCAGGGCAGGGCGGGGGGCGGGGGGCGGGGCAGGGCAGGGCAGGGCAGGGCAGGGCAGGGCAGGGCAGGGCAGGGCAGGGCAGGGCAGGGCAGGGCAGGGCAGGGCAGGGCAGGGCAGGGCAGGGCAGGGCAGGGCAGGGCAGGGCAGGGCAGGGCAGGGCAGGGCAGGGCAGGCAGGGCAGGGCAGGGCAGGGCAGGGCAGGGCAGGCAGGGCAGGGCAGGGCAGGGCAGGGCAGGGCGGGGCGGGGCGGGGCGGGCAGGGCAGGGCAGGGCAGGGCAGGGCAGGGCAGGGCAGGGCAGGGCAGGGCAGGGCAGGGCAGGGCAGGGCAGGGCCTGCAGTGCGGGAAACTGGTAGCGAGAATGACACTGGAAAAAAGGTCATGCCTGATGTGATCGCTCGATCATACCTGCATGCAGGAGGAGCCGTATCGCGCGCCATTAAGTCGGGACCGAGCAAGAATAGCAGACTCTGCCGATCGGAAATCAATGAAAGCCGACACGAGAGCAGCCCCAGATTGACCCCTCGCCCCTTCTGCTCCTCCTCCCGCTCCCCCTGCACCACCCCCATCACTTTCCCCACCACTGAACCCACTGCCACCACCAGCAGCAGCCCCTGTTGCCCCTGCCACCCCTGCCACCCCTGCCACCCCTGCCGCCTCTTGCTGAGCTGGCGGCTTGACAAAGCGCCAGCTCGTGATCTCGCCGTACTGCGCAAAGGCCGACAAGATCTCGTGCTCGGGGACCGTCGGATCGATCTTCCCCACCCATAGATGCCGGGCAGCAGACGGGCCGCCCATCACCAGTGCTGAAGTCATCCCTGATGCGGCTGCTGCTGCCGCTGCTACAGCCTGAGCCCCAGGGGTGTTGGCTGCTGCTGCTGCTACAGCCGCTGCAAGTGCCTGCTGGGTTGTTGTGTGGGTAGGAGTGAACCCCACTCCAGCTGGTGTGCCTGGTGTTGCTGCTGCTGCTGCTGCTGCTGCTGCTGCTCGTGCTGCTGGTGGGGCGGCTGACGGGGGAGTGGCGGATGCTGACCCGCGGAGAGACGGGGAGAGAGCAGCGGCAGCAGCAGCTGAAGCAGCTGCCGCAGCAGCAGCAGCGGAAGAATGAATGGCAGTGCCAGGAAAACCCCCAAAGCCACCAGCAGCTGCTGCTGGCGATGGTGATGGCGATGGCGATGGTGAACCTCCTGCTGCTGTGGCAGACAGAGGAGGAGTCGTTGCTGGAGGAAAACCTCTCTCCCTACTCCCCCCCCTCCTGAAAGCACCTCCTATGCCACTGTCACCCCCACCATCACCACCATCCGAAGCCCCACCACGCACATACCCACTCTCCCCCCCACCTTCCCCCTCTCCTCCTACCCCTCCTGCCCCTCCTGTCCCTCCCCCTGCTGCTGGCACCACCCCTCGTTTTAAGAACATCAGTGCCATGTTCGCATCTTCCTGCCTCCTGAATTCCAGGAGCAGCGCGCTGGCGCTGACTAGGACGGACACGTGGGCGGGCGGCGGGACGCCAGCGAATGCCAGCCGCTGCAGCAGGCTCTCCTTCGCACTGGCACTGTTCACGCCGCCCACCCACACGTGCAGCCGAGAAGCGGGCGGCAAGGCTTCAGCAGCACCAGCACTACCAGCAGCAGCAGCAGCAGCAGCAGCAGCAGCAGGAGTAAGAGGAGGAGGAAGGGGAGGGGTGCCTGCTCGCCCCATCTCCACCCCTCTCTCTCCCCCCATACCAACCCCCACCCCTGCAAACCCCCCCATATGCGCCCCCAGAAACCCTAACCCTAAACCCCTCCCTGCAGCAGCAGCAGCAGCAGCAGCAGCAGCCGCCGCCGCAGCAGCAGCAGCGCCTATAGGGAGACCCAAACCTCTCCGGCCACCAGCAACCAAGCCCAGGGGAGAGTTGATGAGACTCGGAGAGAAGCCAGTCTGCCTCACTCCTCCACTGTCTCTGAGCCCGAGCACCCGAAGGCTATCTCTCCCCTCTCGCTGGCTATCCCGGTCACCATCGCGCTCCCTCCCCTCTGTTCCTGTCTCTCCTCTCTCTCGTGCCACCAACCCGCCCCCAGGTAAACCTCCCCCGGGCCCATCCCCAAAGCGCACTTGCAGCCTCCTCCCCCAAAGGACCACCCCGTTCAACCCCTCCCTCGCCCTCACCGCCTCCCGTACAGTCACCATCGTTACAGTCACATGCACCGGCCCACCAATGTCCCTGCCTCCCCCCCCTCCTCCCCCTCCTCCCCCTCCGCCCCCTCCGCCCACAATCCACACGTCATCCACCGGGCCGAATTTCTCGAAGAGTGATCGCAGCACCGTCCGATGGCCTTCCCCAGATAAGCCTTCCACCGGGAGAGGCGTCCCCGCCTCGGAGCAGAAAGTGAGCTCTAGAAACCGGGTCACCGTAAACACCTCCCCATCCCACGACCACCCAGATACACCTGAACCAGCACCTGAACCAGCACCAGCACCAGCTGCCACTCCTGCTCCTCCTGTCGCCCCAACCCTCTCGGCTTCCCTCTGTTGCTGGTCCTTCCCCCCTCCGCCCCTCTCGTCCCTCTCTCCCTCGCCCCTGTCACCAACCCCACCACCAGCACCAGTTTTAACACCACCACCAGCACCAGCAGCACCACCAGCAGAAGCGGCACCAGCCATAGCAGTAGCAGCAGCCGCCGCAGCAGAGGCAGCAGAAGCGTCCCTTAGGGAAGCCAGCAGCGACTGGAGAGAGTACCAGGAGTCCCCCAGGGAGTCTATGGCCGCCGAGCCACTTCGCCGAACCTGCTGCAGCACCGCAGCGAGCCACCGGAGCGACTCCGGACGTCCCTCCAGAGCCTGAAAGGCCATGCTGGACTGCTCCCTCGCCCTCTTCCGCTTGCTCCTAGCGCTCTCCCTCTCGCTGGATTCCTCTCCCCGCTCCGATTCCTCCCTCCTCTCCCTCCCACCTTCCTTCTCCTCCCTAAAGCCATCCTTCGTTTTCTCCCCCTCCGCGTTTCCCACCCGCTCTGCCTCCTCCTCGCCCTCGTCCTCGTCCTTCGCTCCCTCCTCTTTCTTGTTCGAATCGCTGTCCCCACCATTTCCGCCCCCCTTTCCAACACCAGGACCGACGTCCTTTTCATTTACACCGGCAGCCATCCCCTTGTCCCTTTCCCCCTCCTCCTCCTCTTCCCTCTCGTCCCCTGCTCTCCCTTCCACCCCTCCATCCGCTCCTCCCTCCTCCCCCCTCCTCTCCTCCTCACCTACTTTAACCCTCTTTGCCTTCCTACCCTCCATACCCTCAGATTCCCCCTCCCCAGTTAAACCCGCAACCTCCCGAGGGGCAGTCACCTGTAGCAGAAAAGAGATCGCCTGTTTGCCTCTCTGCCCCTCACCACTCCTCCCCACCCCTCCGCTTCCCCCCGTCCGTGCCTGCTCTATCGCCGCCCCAAGCATCGCTTCCGGCTGTAGCTGCATCGCCCGAACCACTGCCGCTGCCACGATCTGCTTTACCGAGGCTAGCTCCGGGCCTGAGGTCAGCTCCAGGCCTCCGTCCGAGCCTGGGTCTGGTGGTAACCCTACTGCTGTGCTGCTGCTGCTGCTGTTCCTGTGCTTATCAGCATCGTAAGAAGTGCCAGATTCAGGGGAAACTCCCCGTTTACCATCTGCTGCTGCTGCTGCTGCTGCTGCTGCTGCTGCTGCTGCTGCTGCTGCTGCTGCTGCTGATGATGATGCTGCTGCTGCCACCCCATCTGCTGTTGCAAAACGGGCGCTTAGATCGGTAATCAAGGAAGGGGCATTGAGCTCACCTGCACCACCATCACTACCACCCGCACCACCAGTATCACCAGCGCCATCACCAGCAGCAACAGCAGCTGCAGCTGCTGAGTCGGGGTCATAAAAAGGAGGCAGGGGCAGCGTGCAGTCGGGATGCAAGTGAGACAGGAGGAAGCGGGCCACGTCCCGAGAGACAGCAGAGGAGAGGTAGGTGGGGGCGGAAGTGCGGGAGGAGGGGGCTGTAGCGGACGCTGCTGCCGCCGCTACAGCCAAGATGGACGCCAGGCCGAGAAACGCCGACCGCACCGTCGCCATGATCACCTTGGTGTCGTCAGCAGGGGGACCTAGATCCCGCCTGCATGCTGCTTTGGTGGCGGAAGTGGATTTGGTGGTGGTGATGGCAGCGACGGTGGTGGTGGTGATGGCAGTGGCGGTGGTGGTGGTGGTGATGGCAGCGGCCTCCTTTGCCCCCGTGGGATCAGATCCAGGCACTGATGCCTCAACCCCCTGATCTCCTGAGCCAACCAGCGCACAGGCAGCCACAGCTGCCGAATCCGGCTCTTCGCCCCGTACAACTGCCGTTCTTCCACTATCAACTGCTATCCCTGCGCCCCCCTGCTCTCCCCCCTCCCCCTCTCGCCGCTGCAGTTCCCCCCCATCCCCCTGTCGCTGCTCCGCCTCCCTCCCCTCGCCATCTCTCTGTAGCACCCCTCCCCCCTCCCCCTCTCGCTGTCGCAGCTCCACCACACACCAGTCCGCCAGCTGCATGAGCGTCTGCGCTGCGTCCGGCAATCCCGAGGGGCAGAAGCGCGCGTAGCGGGGGATCAGCCCCGCTGCGACCCTTCGTACACTGATACAGCCTGCGCGTGCGTTAGGGCGGAAGAGAGGGCGGGGGGGGGGGGAAGGGGGATCGGAAACAGGCCAGTACGCCAGCTGTATGAGCGTCTGCGCCGTGTCTGGCAGCCCCGAGGGCAGAAGCAAGCGTAGCGGGGGATTAGCCCTGCTGCGATCCCCGGCACGCTAATGCAGCCAGGCAGGGGAGGAGGCGGGGAGAAAAGAGAGGGGGGGGGGGGAGGGGGATGGAAGCAAGGGAAGGAAGACCCACAGGGAAGGCGAAGGCAAAGGCGAGGGTTTTGGTAGTCCCCCGTGGCCTGAGCAGATTGCTTTTGAGTCGACTCAAGATGCCAAGGGGAAGGCAAAGCGGAACGCAGAGGAAGGCGGCGTTCCAAGAGGAAGCCGCCTGAATGTCTTTATCCGCAACCAGCTCCCCCCCGTCGTCTCTCCCCTTATTTTCCCAAAACTAGCCCATACCACATACCTGTTGGAAGCCCTACTGCAGCTGCGGGCAGCCAGGCGTTGACCGACACACTTTACAAGCGCTCTCGCATAAGCATTCCTTCAATACCGTCCAACCGCATACCCTGAGCCGCGTCCAGCATGGCAAAGAACGCCGCCTGGATGTCTTTATCCACAACCGGCTCCCCGCCATCGCCTCTCCGCCGCTGCAGCGCTCCACGCAAGCGGCCGTACGCGCGGAACACCGCCGCCAGCTGCGCGCGATTCCCCGCCTTCGCCGCGCGATCCGCGGAGCTAAGACCGCAGCTCCCCTCGAATCCGCCGTCGGAGCCGGCTTTAAACGCCGGACGACTAGCGATTGCCTTCGCCGCTGCCATGTCGCAGACGATTCTAGACGCTTCTAGACGGTTCTTACTGGCGTTTCTAGACGGTTCTACTGACGTTTTTAGACGGTTCTTACGGACGCTTGTAGACGGTTCTTACTGACCGCTCGAGCCGAAGAGCACGCAATGTCGGGCCAGCACTGATGAACGCGGACGCTGGCGGTTAGAGTGGCGCTATGCTACCGATTAACGAACCGACCCACAACAGACGACGACTTAAAGACATCAGGAAAATGAAATTGGAGCGGAGGTGATCCTCGCACGTTCAGTTATATGCCGCTACTATGTAGCGTAATAAGGTTGCTGCTAGAAGCGAGGCGCCGGACGGATTTGCGAGGAACCTAGGGGACGGCCATGAAGATGGCTCCTGGCCAAGCGAAGGAGGATCAGCGAAGGCATCTCAAAAGCAGCTCCGATCCTTGTTTCACGATCGTGTGAAAAGAACGTGCCATAGCGCAGCTGTTATAAATACTCTGAATCATACTAGCATAAGTAGGTGCTTTTACACACTAGTGGGATTCTTAGGCCCCTAGGAGACAATAGCAAACGGTTTAGGCTACCAACGCATTGTAATTGATCACAATTTTAGCGTAGGTGATACTATCACACCATATCTAGTCCCCTCCCCACCAACTCTCCAGACCCCAACTCATGCCCCACCAACCTAGCTTCCCATGCTCGCCAAAGCCAAATCTGGAGATTCAAGACCCACTGGGCTCCTACCGCTGCTGGGAGCAGCACCTGTACCGACAGAAGCAGTAGCACCAGCGAAAATTTCTGCTGCTCCTCTGCTAGCATCACAGGCATACACGCTTGCCACGCCGTCAGCAGCAGCTGCGTCACCAGCAGCTACGTCAGCAGCAGCTGTGCCAGCAGCACCCGCTGCATTCCGTAGGTCAGAAGCACCTTGTGCTGCTTGCACTGCTTGGGCTCCTCCCAGCTCTGCCTCTGCACTCACTTCCTCCACATCCATCCATTCGTTAGCCTGCCGGATGCTCTCACTCTCTGGCCTCTCGCACCCCTCCCCCTCATTCCCCACTGCATTTCCTTCCCTCGGAATTTCTTGCATTATTCCATAAGGCGACGCTGTAACGGGTGCATCTGTAACGGGTGAGGCTGGGGGGATGTGGTGAGCAGGTGAGGAGTGGGCCGCTGGTAGCGTGTACGGGGTTGGAGACATGGTTAGGGAAGGCGAGGGGAGGGCGAGGGACGGGGAGGGAAAGGAGGAGGGCAAAGAGGGAGACGGGAAGGAGGATAGGTGCGGGAATGGGCTCAAAGGAGGCCCGTAGAGCTCCGATCCTGCGCCAAACATGCCCGGGGCCACCGAACCAAACGAGGCACCACCAAACCCACTGCCACTGTAATCACCAGAAGGGAAGACAGCAGCAGCCGCAGCAGCAGCAGCGGCAGTAGCAGCAGCAGCAGCAGCAAGACCAGAAACAGCACCAGTGCAGCCGCCACTGCTACTACCTAGTTGCTCCCTGGAGCCTAAGGAACCACCGCCGCCAAAGCTGGTGCCAAACGTGCTGCCAGTGCTGCCACCTGTGATGCCAGCAGTACTAGCATAGGTGTTGCAAAGGGTGCTCCCACTGCTCGCTCCTCCCGCTGGTGATGTGGGCTTGTGCGCAGGGCTGTGGCTGATGATCCATGAGTCGGCGGCTGCTGCCGCACCAGAGTGCATGAGGCCGCCTGGGGAGCTGGGGGCATACACGTACTGCTTCTGGGCTGGAGCAGACGAATCTGTGAGGGTACCAGCGGTTGTTAGAGCGGCAGGGTCTTCTAGCGCAGCGGCACGGCCTGCTAGGTCCACTGGGTAGACAGGGTCCGCTGGGTCTGCAGCCATTGCCTCCATTCCCTCTCGCGGGCGTTTTTTGGAGGCTCCCACAGGTGCATCTGGAGAGTGGATGTGCGCTGCTGATGTGTCGGCATGTGCTGCTGACGTGTGCACATGCACCCGCTTCACCTTCACTCTGTGAGGACGATCCGCTGGCGCCTTGAACTGACCCGAGGCACGATTCTGATTCTGATTCTGATTCTGATTCTGATTCTGATTCTGATTCTGATTCTGATTCTGATTCTGATTCTGATTCTGATTCTGATTCTTATTCTGACCCGCGGACTGAGTCTGAGTCTGATTCGGACTGCCACGGTGATACGGTCTTGAATCAGACTGCGGTCCCTGCTCCACTTCTAATCCCCGCTGCTGCACTGCCACCATCTCCTCCTCGCCTGCACCCCCTTCATCTCCCAATACCCGCTCAATTCCTGCCATCCCTTCTGCCCCTTCCCCCTCCGTTGGCCCCCCTACAGCAGCAACGGGGCGAGCCAGCACGGACCCATTCATAGTGATGACCACATGCCGCCTCTTCCTCCCCTGCACCTGCATGTAGCCCCCCCCTGGAGCACCGCTCGCTGCCTCACGCTGCACTGTATCCTCGTCCTCCTCAATTCCCTCCTCTTCTTCGTCCCCCTCTCCTTCTTCCTCCTCTTCCCCGTCTTCTTCCTCGGCACAATCCCCATCCACTCCCCCGTCTTGAGCCCCATACTGATACCCCATCTGCTCCTGATGCCCCTGATGCTGCTCATACGTCATCTGCTGCTGACGTGGCATCCAATGCTCCGTTCCACCGTACTCCACCCCAGCATACCCCAGGCTTCCGTCTTCATCCTCCACTCCTTCCTCCTCATCCTCCTCCTCCTCGTCCTCCTCCTCCTCCTCTTCATCTTCTCCCACTTCTTCCCTTTCTCTCTCCCCTCCTGCCCCTTGCATCCCATATCCCTCCGTCCCATCATCACACACTCCGTCCTCCTCCCCTCCCTCTTCCTCCTCCTCCTCCTCTTCTTCCTCTTCCTCCTCCTCCACCACCACTTCCACCGCATCTCCATTCCCCAAACCCTGGACCCTCACTCCATACTCAACATACTCCCCTCGCATCTCCTCTCCATCCTCCTCTTCCTCCTCCTCCTCCCCCTCGTCCTCGTTCCCTCCTCCCACCTTTCCTCCCCGTCCCTCCTCTATCTGCTGACCCAGAATCAAACCCTTCCCATGCCCTCTCCCACCCCCCCCTTCCGCCTCCTCCTCCTCCTCCTCTTCCTCCTCCTCCTCTTCCACCACTAACTCCGTCTCATCATCATCAGAATCAGGCTCCATCCCCGGAAGCCTGTTCTGCAGAGCCCGTCTCCTAAGCACAAACACGTTGAAATAGAAGCTCACAAGTTCCTTCACACTCCGCACACGCCTCCGCCGCCTCCCCTCCACACACATTCCCATACCCGTTATAAGGCCCCCACCATCCCCCCCACCATCCCCCACACCCTCCCCCTCTCCTCCCCCAGCAGACGCAAACGCCCGCTTCAGGGGACCCCAGAAATCTAGCCCCTTGGACTGCGGGTAAAGTTCAACTATAGTCAGGAAAAGCTCCACTTCCTCAGGGCTCCACCCCTCCGCCACCTTCTCCCCCATTTCCGCCAGCCCCAACGCGTGATACGCGGCGGGCCCCAGCTCCGCCTCCAGGTCCTCGTCCGCCTCATGGCAGTGCGCGCGCACGCAGTCCGCGGACCCCGCCTTGTCCGCCCCGCACGCGGCGCACGCGCCTGGCGGAACGCGCAGGTCGCGGCGGTGGTGGTTTGTGCGGGAAGGCTGGCGCCGGGACGGGAGGTAGGGATCTTGAGGGTGGTGGTGGTCTGAGTGTGGGCTTGACTGCTCCTGCGGCTGCTGCTGCTGCTGCTGCTGTAGTTGCCACGTGGCGGATACGGGTTCGTCGTGTTGGCTGAGTGCCGCCGCCGACGGGGGCTGTGAAAACGTGGCAGGAGACTGAGCGATGGCCTCGTGCATCGCCATGGATGATGCGACGATCCCGGCGACGTCGCTCGTGCATGCGACTGCCCCTCCTGCGACTTGAGCACCGTGCGACGAGGCTCCGGCTGCAGGCGATGGCGAGTCACGAGATGTGACATTACATGGCGTGACACTACCCGTCGCGACTTTATCAGCTGCGTCGCAATCGCCTGGAACTGAACTAGAGCCGCCATCGATATTGCCGTGGGAGTCACTCACACTAATATCAGCAGCAGCAGCAGCAGCAGCAGCAACGACAACACCTCCAGCTCTCTCCCCATCAATCGGCGACCGGCCCTCGATAGCACCACCACCTTCGATAGTATGACAACCCGCGCTCTGCATACCCCGAGGTATGTGCCAGTTGACCTTCCCTCCCGCCGAAGCAGCCAACGTCCCTCCAAGCCTCAGGTACGGATTCCCCTTTCCTGCGCCTCTCCCGACCCTCCTGGACCGGGCTAGGTCCGGCCAGACCTGCGCGCCGAGCCACTTCGCCTCCCATGCCAGCTCAGCATCACACGTGGCTTCCTCGCAGCACACCCCCACCTCGCCTCCAGCCCCATCCTCCGGAGCAATCTTCCAGATGCTTTCTTCAGCCGGCATCAGACGGTGTGGAGAAGATAGCGGTTCCGGAATATCCGCCTGATAATCCGCGCCAATCGGCGGGGTCTTCCGCGTGGCGGGAACCGCGAACTGAGCATGGCGCAAGGGGGACGGCCACGGGGAAGGGGAGTTCCACGGGGAAGGGGAAAGCCAGCGGGACGGGGAGCGCCAGGGGGAGGCGGAAGCAGCCCACGGCGACGGAGACGACAGCCTGGCCGGTGAAAATGTTGACGAGAAAGTTGACGGAAAAGTCGACGGAGACGACGATACCGGAGGCCATCTGCTTTGACTCGCTGCAGCGCCGCCGTCTGGTACGGCGAAGTAAGTTGCCGCTACAGGGACGTCTTGGGAGGCGGAGTATGCTCTGGAGAAACGCCGTTCTGGAACATCTGGTTTAACCGTCGAAGGTGTGGCTGCTGCTCTGGTTGTGATTTCTCGAGCTGGTACCCCAGAATCCGGGTCCACGGAATTTGTTGGCACTGCATCTTTCGTCTCAGCGCCGGGAGTTATGTACGTCGTCCCAGCTCCACCTGACAGGTTGCTACCTTCGTTAGGTAAGACTTGATCGTCCTTAGTTACGGCTTGATCGGTAGCTTGCAAAGCATCCATGTTAATCCCTCAGTTGGGGGAAATCGCCTCGCAGCGCGTGTTTCGCTACAATTTTAGTTTGTTCTTGCCAGATTCGAGTCGCCTTTAGCTCAAGCTGACAACTATGTGTAGGAATAATAATGTAAGGATTGCCACGTGGCAGCATGGGATAGGTTCAAACTAGGGTTTCAAGACAAGCACTTCAGATCCATGAAACAGTAGCAGGCATCAAATTGGATTCAGATTGCCAACCTATTTCTGAGAACATTTTAGCGAACATCAATTTCCTCTTCGCCGGAATGTGGCGAAGCTGGACGCCCCACACGGCCAATTCGGAGAGGTTGGTTTTTCACCACTGTGGACCTTCGCCACAGTTGGAGGTTACCTGCAAGATGTCGTCAGAGCCTGATGAGGAAGGTTCACATCACACCACCGAGAATGACGTTTGCGGGATCAATAGAACACTATGTTGTACACCAAATCCTGCTTATATTGTTTTCTAAATCTCCTCATTACCACCTCGACTTCATCCTCCCAGCTTGTGAGATCTTCCAACTGCAAGAATGAACAGGGGCACATCAGATGGAACCAGCCACGTTAGTAGGAATGATGGTTGGTAGCGAAACGTGCTTGAGTGATCTTGGTGCTAGGCACATCTGCTGGATGATCCTGCTGCTCGAACTTGTGTACTATGGCCTCGTAAACATGCGTTACATGTAAACAATCAGCTTGCGCATAAACCCATCGTTTTGGAACATGGATCCATGTACTCTTGAAGTACTGACAGATGTGCCCCCTTATTGGAGTCCTCACCATCCTACACAGTCGTAGAGCCGCTTCTGCTCCAGATGCTGCTTCTTCATGCGTATCTCTAACTTCAAGGTTGATCACCAATGCTGCTTGATGTAGAGTACGCTCCCGTGCAAACATATCTGCAAAATGCCAGTAGGTGAGCACATGAATGGAACAAAATATGATTGATTAGTTCCCCATCTGACAATGTCTGTCATCCGCGAGATCACAACACCATTAATTGATGGCAGAACAGAAGCCTACACATATTGTTATATAACTCAATGCTTGTTAGGGTAGCGTGTTCCTGCAAAAAAAGTTCTAACGATTTTACAGAAACTCCATTCACCAGCTGTTAGTACTTCTGCTGTCAAAAAACATTGTCAGGACCCTGCAAACGGATGTGGGCGACTGAAGGTGCAGAGAGGAAAATAGATTTCACGGCAAAATCTAGAATGGACTTCACGAAACTAGTGAGTGAGTGAGTGGACGTTATCGTTGATTAACAGTGTGTGAGTGTCAATGTGTGCATGCATGTCTAAGCGTGCCTGCATGTGTGGGTGTGTGCCTTGATGAGTGTGGTTGCGAGCCTTCATTAGTGGGGGGGATGCGTGCCTTTTGAAGTGTATGTGCGTCTGTGTGACGGATATGCATTATTTGTGTTTGCGCAGCTGCATGAGCGGGCGACGTAACTCGAGAGAGTGAGTACGTGAAAGCGCGGGAGTGCCCATGCGTGACAAAGACGGAGAGCGAGGGGGTAAGAAGTGACAGCGAGAGATATGGGTGGGTTGAGGCCGCATGCCTCCAAAAGAGAATCGGCGTGAACCCAGGTGACATACCATTCAAGTAAAAAAACAAAGAATAATAAGATGCGTCACTTGCGACCTTAACCCCTGGAGTCCTGAAACTGCCTGTCAAGCATAGAATAATAGATCTGATTCTCACTCTCCTTACCTTCAATGACCATGTCAAAGACACGCTCCTCGAACGTTATCACGACGTCGAAGGGTCCGTCAGCGGCGTTGTCCTGCCACTTTTGAGGAGCTTCCTTCACCGCAAGATTTCGCTTCAGCATTCTCAAGATGCCGTTCCTTTTGTACCTGAGTGATTGAAAATTTACGTACAATCAGCAAAAGGAGAAGTAAACATTCCTGGTGAATAAGTCGCATCGTAGAGTGAGAAAGGTCTGAGGGTCCGATGCATTCTTACAGATAGTCAAACTTCGTAGCACTCACAGTTCTGGGTCTTTGGCTTGAAGCTCCTCAAACATGTATTTGTACGGCGTGCCGAATTTATAAACATTGGGTTCTCGTATACTTGGTCCCGGCAGCTTAACGTTGGTGCCGGTACCATAAGAGCAGACGTCGAAACCCTCTCGTTGAAGAATCGCATGTGATTCCATGCTGCGATTTTGATTCGACGCACAGACCATTGCGAAACGAAGACGCATGCTGTTCGGTAGTAGGAAAAGACCCTACGGTTGAAAATCCCTAGACTTCGTCGGCTTGGAACTTATGGAAGCCGATGGAATGTCGCAGGGGAGACCACCCGGAAAACAGCACTAGAAACAGTTATGGGCGATCAACTGCCTAAAAATGATGGTAGCGATGTCATTCTCATATGCCTGAAAGGAAAAACTCGAAAACGCGAAAATGCGGTGATACCTGACTAATGTCTTAGCCTCGTGCCTGTATAAGCTGGACTGTCAGTAGAACCTGCTATACTTCTGTGTCTGTAGAACCCACATGCCCGTCTGGTGGAGGGTTTTTGTAGAGTGGGTGGGAGGCTGCTTGGTCCTTGCACCCAAGTTACGTAGGGCTCGTCACATTTGCGTGTATTCGCTGGATCGCTGGGATCCTCATTCCACGGACCGTTCGGCAGCGAACTAGCTAATGGTTCTTTTAAGTAGTTACTTCGTGTTACTAGGTAACCTGTAGCTGTATAACACTGGAACGGCGAATGGGTTGCGCGTATTCGGCCCAGATGTGCCACGCCCTTAAATCCGAACTCGAATCTCAAGTGCCACATAACACATAAATCAACATGGCTCTTAACTAAGGACAATTAGTCAATTGGATGTTCAACTAAGTTTTTTTGCTGCAACGTCTGTAACGTGGCCAAATCCGTTGAGAAGCTGGTTTGAAGGAGAAGACGACATCACTGCTGATCTCCAAAGTGCAACAAGGGGTTCAGTTGACATCTTCTCGATACCACCTCACTGGAGACGCCCTTTTAATCCCACTCCGTGGTCGAGGGAAATTACCCTCGCAGAGGCCTTCTTCTCCACCGTCTATTGTTCCATGATCATGCTTGAAGCTGGCTCAAGGCTGTCTCGGATAAGCAAGGAAAGGCCCATTATTCAGTAGCAGAGGGTGTACGCACAGGAAACCTCGAGGATTTCGGCGTTTTTAGACAAGGGAGTGACTGGTAAAACTTGAGTCAAGGTCTGCTAATCTGACGTTCTCCTTCTTTGGAACGACGGCCATCTGTCCATTTTTCCAAATTTCTTTTGCGATGTCTCGTAATGGCGCACCGGGCGCATGCGAATCGGTTTTCCGGCGTCGTCCATCTTCGACCAGATGCTTTCCTCGTTCACGTCCTCATCCTCTTGACGGATTCGTTCTCACCTCGTTTACCCTCCTTCTTCTACATCCCTTTCCCGAATAACGCTGCAGCACAAGAAGCACGCGTGAGAATAACACGCACGCACAAAATTCAAGGCTCCTAGGCGTTCCAAAGCCTGCGATGTCTCACTTCACGCCGAAGAGGAACCAAGGGAAAAGGGGAGAGCAGAACAATAAGGCAAGAGGCGGCCGTGGAGGAGCAGAGAGCCCTATCGGTGACCCCTTCGCACTCTCAAAGGAGCGTCTAGCATCGTTAGATCTGGAAGGTGGCCTAAATCAACGGTGAGGATGAAGTTTTTACATGTATGACGTATCGTCTAGCATCACTGTCGTCGTCCGCTTTCTCTCCCTTTCTTGCCCTCTTCTGTCCCACTCCCCTCTCAAGCGGTCCTTAGATTGAGGGAAACCTGGGTACATGCTAGGTCATCAGGTAGGGGGCAAGCAAGGGTACTTGACCTGAGTCTCCTTTTGCATGAGTTGCTTGCATGTGCGCATCCCTTTGCATACATGTGCACACCCCTGCATGCATGCGCACAATCGTGCATGGGTGTAGACACGTGTGACCATGCAAGCATGACCACGTACGGCTCTGAGTCAAGTCCACTGGCCTAATCCCCTGTGTGTGTCTGCGTGTATGGGTTTTCCATTGTATTTGCGCATTGCATTGCATGCATGCATGGCAGCAGGAGGGACTACTCATAGTCATGCCATGAGCTTTCTCTGCTGCTCCGCCTCTGCTACTCCCTCGTTTACAAGCCCGTCCAGTCTCACCTCTTCGCCCTTGCATGCGTGTACGCAATGTGCATGCGTGTATGTGGATCCCTGCATGTATGTGCATGTGGATCCCTGCATGTATGTGCATGTGGATCCCTGCATGTATGTGCATGTGGATCCCTGCATGTATGTGCATGTGGATCCCTGCATGTATGTGCATGTGGATCCCTGCATGTATGTGCATGTGGATCCCTGCATGTATGTGCATGTGGATCCCTGCATGTATGTGCATGTGGATCCCTGCATGTATGTGCATGTGGATCCCTGCATGTATGTGCATGTGGATCCCTGCATGTATGTGCATGTGGATCCCTGCATGTATGTGCATGTGGATCCCTGCATGTATGTGCATGTGGATCCCTGCATGTATGTGCATGTGGATCCCTGCATGTATGTGCATGTGGATCCCTGCATGTATGTGCATGTGGATCCCTGCATGTATGTGCATGTGGATCCCTGCATGTATGTGCATGTGGATCCCTGCATGTATGTGCATGTGGATCCCTGCATGTATGTGCATGTGCATGCATGCATGACCGCAGGAGGGACTACTCAGAGTCATGCCACGAGCTCGCTCTCCTCCTCCGCCTCTGCTACTCCCTCTCTCCCAAGCCCGTCCAAGCTCACCTCTTCGCCCTCGTACAGCAAGCCATCACAAATTTACCATGGTATACAGATTATAACTGTAAACAGTTGGTTAACAAGTCACGTTGATTATTTCTCTCGTTTATCTTGGCGTTCTGACCTCCGTTCTCACGCCCCATGTGTCCCATGGCAGCATGGACGGCGCCCTGCACAGGTCAGCAGCGCGTCAGCTCATGCAGGCGTGTCAGGCAGCGCTGCCACGTCATCGCAAGCAAGCGGTTACCAGCGAGTACAAGCGCCTCTGCGTCATGCTCGCTCGGGCAGAGAAAAAAACTTCAAACGCAGAAGAGGATTCACAAACAGACAGTCCACTTGCAACCACCGGAGAGGCACTTTCATCCCTGTCCTTAAACGAATTCTCCTCTGACGAGTATAGCCTTGAAGCGTCTCCAAGGTTGTTTCCTGCCAGTTTCGGCACCGTACCTCCCTCTATCCCCCCGCTCCCTCCTCTCCCTTCAGACATCGTTCACCTCCTCTTCTTTCATCTTGAGACCCCCTCCCTTGCCCGAGCCTCTGCTGTTTGTTCTCTATGGAGGGATATTGCAGCTTCGGCCGAACCTGCCTGGTGCGCGCACCTCGCTGCTTGCTTCGGTTCCGTGCCTGATGCCGAGGCTCGGGAGAGCAACGATGGGAAGGGAAGGTCGGGAGAGGAGGGGAGGGGCCGGCAGGAGTCATTGTGGAAGGAGCTGATCTCTCATTGTAAAACGGGTGAGTTGCTCATGCTCCAGGCTCTTCGCAACATCGCTCTTCTCGGCCTTTTTTGTGTGTATATAGAAGCTATCTTGTTTCCTTCCTCGTACTCCCCCCATGTCCACGTCCCTCTCCCCCCGTTGCCTTTTTTTCTGAAACGGTTTTTTCTCCACTTCTCCCTCCCTCCCTCCCTTATTTTCCCAGACAGCTGTCCCTTTATCCTCGCTTCAGTCCAGCTGGGTACTGTGTAGAAAATGCAGCACGTTGGCATGGATACCGAATTCTGCCCCCACGCCCCCCCCTTACCTTTCGTCTTCCTTTATCTCCAGCTGTCCCTTTATCCTCAATACAGTCCAGCCGGGTACTGTGTAGAGAATGCAGCACGGTGGCATGGATACCGAATTCTGCCCCCACGCCTCCTTCTCACCTTCCAGCGGCTTCCTCTTCCTTGGGTCGGCCGTCGGCACCACCATTAATATCAGCAGCAGTCGGGCCCTCCTCTCACTTTTCTCGAGGCAAAAATAAGGGCAGGGCTGGTAATATGTTTGAAGGGAGAAAGGCGAACGGACTTTTGGACAGCAGCTTAGCTGGTGGTGCGGTTGCTGGGACTTCTAAGTTGTATCATGTGGGACGTGATGCAGTGGGACAGCGTAGTTTGGGTAGCAGCAGCAGCAGTGGTGGCAGCGTCAGTGGCGGTGGCGGCGGCGGCAGCAGCATCAGCTACGGCAGCAGTGGCAACGGCAGCGGCAGCGGCAGCAGCAGCAGCAGCTGTGGCAGCAGTGGCAATGGCAGCGGCAGCGGCAGCAGCAGCGGTGCAGCAAGGTTCTTCGGGCGCACGTGTCGTGTGAAGAGCACAACAAGACGAGGGTACCGACTGCAGCAGCACGTGTGGAGACTCGCCGGCACATCAATGGTGAGGGCTGGCGATGGAGTTTAGAGGATGCAGTTTCAGTCGAACAGAATATGCGAGGCAGCAGCAGGGTAGGGAAGCTTGATCTGGCGCACGATTCGTGTGAAGAGCACAGAGAGACGAGGGTTCTGACTGCAGCTGCACGTGTGGAGACTCGCCGGCACATCGAAGGTGAGGCTTGGTATGCGGACTTAATGCAGCAGAACATGAGACGCAGCATGAGCCGCAGCAGCAGCGGTGCTGCAGCGTTCTTTGGCCGCATGTGTTGTCTGACTAGCGCAGAGGGACCGAGGGTACTAACTTCAGCAGCACGTGTGGAGGCTCGCCGGTGCATCAAAGGTGAAACTTGGTCAGCAGTGGCGATAGAATATTAGCTGTGGGACCTCTCAGAACTAAGCTTCTACCACACAAGGCTTGGCGTGATAGAAGGTCGGGGCTTTCAGAAGGACGGTGCACTTTTGCCTCTTGTGTCATGCAAAGAGCTTTGAAGTACCCTCGAATCTCAAAACCATGCCCGGCCTCGTTTTCTTGCACAAGGTTCTTTCGCTGCTTGTGTTGTGCCAGGTGCACAGCCAAACCGGGTTACCAGATGTGGGAACAACTTTGCAGTCTGCAGCACCTGATGGGGGCATGTCAGAGGCGAGAAAGCGAGAAAGTGGGAAAGTGAGAAAGCGAGAAAGTGAGAAAGTGAGAAAGCGAGAAACTGAGAAAGCGAGAAATTGAGAAAGCGAGAAAGCGAGCAAGCGAGAAAACGAGAAAACGAGGTCTGGCTTGCTTGCTTGGTATTGATAGTTGAGGGTATTGTAGTGATTGGTCCGGCTTGCTTGCCAGTGAGGCATGGTGCCTACCTTGCATACGAGACTGATTGGGGATCACCACATCCATGCACAAGTGAATGCATTGGCTTTGTGCTGCCTGCTGGTGGTACGTCGACCTCTCTGCTGCCTCCTGCTCCTCCTCCTTTCCGCACCTTTGTTCTTTCTCCTTGTGCTCATCCTGCCCCTCCTTGTGCTCATTCCATTCCCTATCCTTCTGCTCTCATTTCTCTGACCCCGAGTGTTGTGGTAGGTCGTTGCATCCCTCTCTGACGACTTTGAGGGTGGCGAGGAGGATTCTA